AATACAACGGCATTGAAAAAAAAGTCTTTGCTTGGCTGCAAAAATATTCCTAATACAACCATTTAGTTACCTAGAAAGTAACTGTTGTAAATCAGGAAGCCTCTTATAGCAAAAACGATAGAGGAATCAGTCCCCCTTCAAATGTACAAGTCAGCTGGGACATGTTCAGTTTGCATGTCTGTCAGAAAAAGTTGGTGTTTGCTGCTATAAGCTCCTTTCCCTTCTTCTCCTTGTTCCAAGCATAGTTACTCAGAACCTCCTGCCATCTCCTGTGAGAAGCTGTTGCCCTCTAGCTCCCAGAAAGATGTATGATACAGATGCATTGATAGCAGTGTGGTGACAGATTTCCAAAGGAATTGTGCTAACACTGAATAAAGTCCATACAGAATATGTGATTGTATTTATCTAAGACAAAAAGAAATTAAAAAAATAATTAAGCTACTTCAACAAACAAGAAAGCTTTTTAACCTATGATTATAAAATAGTGAGCTCTTTCTTTTTCAAGGTTCATCTTTCTACAGATAAAGCATGGAGGTACATGTGCAGTGCTGTGCTTGTATTTTGCCTTCATATCTAGCTTATCTGGCTATTCATGTTTCAAGGTGTAATGGAAGCATACATTCATTCTTTTTACATTAACATGAACTCATTGTGCTATAACTGCTAGTGTTGTTCTTGCTGAGACTGCCTACTAAATATCTTCCTCCCTGTGCTCACAGAATCACAGCATGACTGCAGCTGGAAAGCACCTCTGGACATCATCTAGTCCAACTCCTGCTCAAAGCGGGGTGTTAGGAAAATCTTATTCCCTAACTATTATAACAATTAATCTTTATAGTATAAAATGGTATCAATTTGCTTTTGGAAATACATGTAGTTTACATTGTATACTGAATAGCCAGGCTTAAGAAAACTAAAGGACCAAGCTAAGGAGGACAAGGACAGCCTAGCCCCTGAGATAAGGACCTTACTTCTTGGAATCTTAAAAGCTGTCCGTGAAGGATAAAATATGGTCCTGGACAACCAAGATAACACTAGCATCCTAGCTTCTCTAACCTGTCTTTGGAACCCTGACATTCTCTGTCATCATAGATAAGTAACTATAACAAGACCAACTCCAGGACTGTCTGATCAACAGAGAAGCAGGTGACTCATGACACCATAGAAATATAGTTGCTTTGCAAAATTTTACTATGATTAGTAAACTGTAGTGTGTGTTAAGTAACAATTAATCTAATCATGTTGCACCTGAACACTTGAAATGCTTGCAGAACTACATTAAGGCTGCTCCAATTTGAATGGGACACCTTGGGCGCATGGATAAAAAAATTGCTCTTTAATTCTGTGCTTTGCATCCTAGCCTCAATCCTTACTCAGTATAGATCAGTTGTGAATTTTCCTAACAAGGATCAGCTATAGCAGGTTGCCCATGACTATGTCCAGTTATAAAATCTCCAAGGATAGAGACTGCACAGCCTCTCTGGGCAGCCAGTTCCAGTGTATAACCACCTTGAAAGTAAAAAGATTTTTCTTATATTCATACAGAATGTATTATATTTCAGTTTGTGCCCATTGCCTCTTGTCCTGTCACTGGGCACTACTGAAAAGAACCTGGGTCCAACTTCTTGGCACCCCCCTCTCAGATGTTTATAAACATTGATAAAATCCAACTGAATCTTCTCTTTTTCAAGCTGAACAGTCCCAGCTTTCTCAACTCACCATTGTATGTCAGATGATTCTTCATCATCGTTGTGGGTCTTTGCTGGATTTGCCCCAGTGTGTCTATGTCTTGTACTGGGGAGCCCAGAAAAGGACCCAGCACTCCAGGTGTATCTCAGTAATGCTGAGTAGAGGGGAAGGGTCACCAGCTGGAACACTTCTAATGCTATTCAGGATACCATTGCCCTTCTTGATCTTGTAGTCTTAGTAGGATTGTGGAATAGGATTGTAATCTGTTGCCCTTTAAGGAGGGGTTAACATTTCAAAGCCATAATGAAGCCTAAGATAAAGCGTTCTCATAGGAGCAGTAGTGAATGCCTAGTGACATTCCTCAGTGTTCTTACGGATTGCCTTTAAGCTACACAGTAAGAAAAGACCAAATACTACACACCACCTTGTTATTTGATACAAGTGCCTAGGGTTGCTCTGACTGCATTTGCTGTCCCTACACTCTGCTTCCAGTTATGGCTTAAATTCCCTACCCTAGATCTCAATATCCATAGCCTCACTTCAACAAAGAAAGCCATTCTTTACCTTCTTTGGGATAAATAAAATGACAAAAGCCTCCACCTAAGAGAATGAGAAGAGAACGTGACAGGATTCTTTCTAATTTTCTCCCACACACATTTCAAGGTTTGAGCATACTATATTCCCATTATCTCCATCTCAGATTTGAACAGCCTGATGTGCACATCATCTAGTTTAATGGACAAACTCTCTGTTGGATTTGGTAAGATTGGAGTAGGACTTACATCAATAAATAAAAGCTTATAAATCTCTTGAATATAGTAGTACCTGTGAGAAAAGGGCAAGAATCCAATATGAAAAGGTTTTCTTTCTCATCCATTAAATTTCTGTGACATTTCAGAGCTGTTTATTGTTTTTATACCTCCACCAAAACTAGCTAAATGCGCCATGCAAACTTTAGAAGAATACTAAATGAGTACAGTTTGAACAGGAATTTAAACCACTAGAATGTTTTTGTTTAACAGCTAGTAATACCCAAGACACAGTGAAACAAAAATAGATGAGAACAGTATAATATAAGCAGAAGGAAACTTGCCTGTGTTTGCTCTCTGGCCCTTGGAATAACATATTTCTATTTGCAGAGCTGGTTCTGCTGCCATAGCTAGGAGGATTATTTAAGCCTGACAATAAGCTTTTCTTCTTTCTATAGCACAGTCAGTTTCCTTACCATTTGAGTTTTTGTCCATAAATTTTGTTTGTATGTGAGGAATAGGAACATGGCTGCCATGTCCTGCATACACAGTCATTTCTATAGAGAGGTTGTAGGCAGATGCTGAGAAGAGGCCAAGGACAGTGAGGGCCTCAGGGTACAGTGGGGCTGGGTGTGCTTTGGCTGCACCACTGTGTGGCAGGGGAAGGAAAAAGGCCTGCAGGGAACATCTTACTTGACCTTCCCCGAAGCAACAGGCAGATTTTTATTCCTTATTTATACACTTAATGGTGTAGGTCCTTTCCAGTGAAAAAGCATAGCCACACATGGACCCACAGAACTATCCCACATTACGTGCTGCATAAACACCATTATTTTATTAAAATATTTTACTGGTATTTTGCAGAAGTTTAAAAGACTATTAGGGTGGCTTTTTGTCTTAGATTGCTAAAGTCATCTCACATTATTGACAAATGGCTTATTTGAAATGTCTTGTTATCAAGACATGAGCACAGATTCTGAAACAAAATGTTTCAGGAGTCATAAAATCAACTAGGTTGGAAAAGATCTTTAAGAATATCAAGTCCAACCTTTACACCAGGACTGCAAAGTCAGCCACTAAGCAATGTCACTGAGGGCCTCCCGTATCAATAAGGGAGCCTTATAATGGAGTTAGGCTCAGGCCAAATGTGCCTACAGTGAGTTTAAAAGAACAAAGAAGAGAACTGATATTGAAATGATTCATTTTCCTCTGTCACAAAAATATGAACTACTGGCAGTTTTAAATACAGAGGCTCCAGAGGTGAAAAAAGTTATTTCTGTATAATCCATCTGCATTTTTTGCCATGTAGCTCTGCAGTGACATCAAATGTGTTAAGATGGGATTGTGTTAAACACCTTAGAAAACTGTAGGCTTATTTCAGTGCAATTAAAAGATCCACTTGAGTGAGAAGAGGACAAAAATCAGACTTTGCACGTGCCAAAGGGCTGTCCCAGATTGAAACAAACAAAAGAAGTCAGCTTTGGATGAATGATGGAAGAATTTGTGGGGATGGCCCCTGAACTTCTTGTCCCTTCAGGTAACTTCAGTACTTCAGAGTTCTGCCCCAAATGTTTCTATTTACACCTTCTGCCTGATGCCTTCATGTCAGAGGATGTCTTCTATTTCCTAGGTGCTTACGTTACCTTTGAGATCACCTCAGTAATTCTCTCAAATCTGGGCAGCACCAGCTGCCACTGTGAGGTGCCAAGTCCACAGTTCCTCACGTGCAACAGTAAAGTTGTACTTTTCCCAGTTTTCTTTTTTGCATGAGATCAGAATATTCATTGAAACCTGTTTTAGTATTTCTTCTTGTCGTTAAAAGGAGGAGGAGGGAAGAATGTTTAGAAAACATGGATTAAGGAGGTATTCTAAATGAGTGCGAGTTATTTTTCGTAATACAGAGTGCTTTAAATAATCCCATACAGCCTTTCTTAAAGGGTAGACACACTGTATGCTTTCTCTAATGATTTTCTATGCAACTAGCTGTTACAGAAGTAGCCTTTTTTTTCTTTCCCTTGTAGGTCATTCTGATTGAATTCCTAATTTCCTTTTTCCCAAGCTGCAGCTGACACTGCCCAATAGCTGACCCTGGTGAAATAATAGTGAATTTTCCTACAGGATTCAGACACCTACCCACAGAAGCTTCTGAAAGAGCATTCCTCTGTTTACGAAGGGACTTGTAGCACACTTTCAGCAGAGTCTGACTGGTTTTATTTGCACCGGGGAGTTATAATTTTTAAGCATAAATAACCTGAACATTCTGCAGCTTGCAGAATTTACTCAAATATTACTGGCTCTTCTAGTCAATAGTTAACAGGCTCTTCGGTGGCAAATAGAAAACCAGTTCAAATGCAAAGGAAACAGTTTAATGAGAATGTATTATATTTGAATAATATAAATGTGTACATTTTAAAACTGTAACTGCCTGGCAGATCAGTTTCTATGTCTGTAAATGGAAAGATAATGTTACATTAAATGAGTTAAAAGAATTACTCTATTTTAAATCCCAAATGTATTTTGCAATCTGATATGTTGCATTTATTATGATTCCTTCACGCCAACTATGGAGACCTTCTCTTGTAAAACTCAACCCCATACACAAATTTTGCCATTTTTTAAATAAAATAAGCATGGGAAGTGTCTTGGGCCTGATTCCTCACTGTGCCTCCCACCCATTATTGTAATGAACCAAATAGGTTTTATACTGCAATTTTTAAGCTGTCCCTTTATCTTTTGTATTCACAAAAAGGAAACACATGTAAGGAATAAAAAACACCATATTTTTCAATAAACCATTCATTAACAGGAAACAAGCAAAGAAAAAATTAAAAATGGGCAATTTGGAGCACCCAAAGGAAAGGGATTATCAGTCTGAAGAGAAATTGCTGTTTCAAGAATAGCTGGCATAAGCCTTTGCTATTCTTGGAGTTGTTGGCATTTCATTTCAATATATAATAAAGAAGTCACAGTCATATTTTCAGATGCTTTGATTTCCTGCTCCTGTATCTTCATGCACATCTAGGAAAGAACACATATATATGTATTTATATAGATATAGAAATCAGTTGTCCACAATGCTGTCTTTCTTTTCTTTAAAAAACACTACTGCAAACATAGAAACAAGCCAGCAGTTCTAAACACAAAAGTAGTTCTTCAGTCTGAATGACAGTTCTGAGGGCATTTGACCGAATTTTTAGTATGTGTAAGAATAGAGCTGTTACACATACTAGAGATCTTATGCATCTTGGAAAGATAGGAGGGGTCTCAGCCATAAGTAATATAATGGCTAATGTCCCACCCCACACTGCTGCTTTTTCAGTACAGATATGTCAAGTTCCTCATATGTTATCAGCAGTAATGTACCAGAGCACCTTCTATAGGGTAACGATAGGCTGAGTCAGTGTAATCTGCACTACAAAGCCCACGCTGAAATGCCTGGCAAAGATTTGCATCCTCATTGCTCTTCAGTAGTTGGCAGAGTAGAAATTTCTGAAATGGTTAATGCATGGTCTAAGAGAAACAGCATGTATGTGAGGAGAGGGAGATGATGTAAATTTATTTTCATATGATGTGAAAATGAAACCTAAGTTGCAAGCAGTTTCTGCTCACAGAAGAGTTGTAAGCTGTCAGTGGTTACGTATAAAAGCTGCCTAAACTTCTTGCTCATTAACTCTTGTGGCCATTTTCAGATTTCTTTCATATGTGAAAGAGCTTGTTGCCCAGTTGCTGACAGGATTTATATTTAGCTTAAGAAATGTGCATTAAAAAAACAGCTTAGAAGAGTGTGTTTAATTAAATGGTTGAGTATGTGACAGTCATGTAACGCTCTGTGACTGTTGAGCCCAAAGATGGAGCAGAACAGTTTCTTTAAAAGCTGATGTTGTGTTTTCCCTTTGATTATTTGGAGGAGCAGGGGAGGCACATCTGCAAGAGACTTTTGTGAACAGGGACTCCTATCACCATGCAAATGTAAAAGTGCAAATCCAGCTATCATCTCAACTCATTTTTTTACTGCAATTAGGGTATTAGTCTGTCAAAACCAAAGAGAGTTTGAAATAGCTTCCAGCAGTATTTTTACTTTATAGAAGCTGGGCCACATCTAAAATGTTGTAATTATTCAGAGTGTCAGAGGCATATGTGCATGTGTGGATGAACAGATAAAAAGGCTGATAAAAACATAAGAGAAAGTTGAAAGGAAAAGCTATTCCCAGTGTCAGGCATTCTCTGGTCTGTGGATTTCCTGGTACGGTCCCCGGGATTTCTAACAGCAAGAGAGAGAACATCAGGTAACATTGCAGAAATTAGATTCAAAGAGAGGATCTGGAAGATTCTCAGACTTAAATCTGAGAAAGAAACAGTTTTTATTACTTTTCTTTGCACATTAATTATAATAAATTTATGAAGCTAGAGCAGTTCCAGTTAGAACCACTGGGAAGAAGAGTAAAGTGATCACTTTACCAACAAACCTGTTTGGCGCCCATAATATCCTTTTTTTTTTACAAAGAGAAATTCCTGCCATAAGCAGAGTGCAGGCAAGTTCTTTATAATTTTTCCCATGAATGTTGCTGATTACTGTACAGATGGCTGCATACCAAGCCTGTGGGATCCATAAGCAATAATTACTTTGCACTATAGGGGTTTGGAATTACTTTCCCAGCTCCATTCTCAATTCTGTGGTGTTTTGTATTTTCCTCATACTGAATGCTGAAGCATCCTGCTGCAAGTACCAGTATCGACTTAGTTGTCATTTATTTACCACTTAGAATGCTCCTTTGTAGCACATCAGGAATTGGAAAATTCATGAAAGTGGTCTTTCTAATATGAGAAGTTTACCTGTTATCATGTCTAAGAGATTTTATTAGTGAAAATTTTCCTACATTTCTTTTTTTTAACATCTTGATGTATGAAAAAAGCAGCAAAGTGGGTTTATGCAAACAACTCCTTCCCAAGTACAGAATATGTTTTGCAAAGTTTAAGTAAAAATCTGAGCTGTCACAAAGTTAAGCTACCTTTGCTTTGAATTTATTCCTTTTTTAAAGGTGTAATGTATCAGTGAGAAAGTTGAGAAAGAAGACATGTAGGAGGAAGAATAAGAAAAGTTTTACTTTATGAATGCTGTTTTAATAATCATCTTGAGTTTCAAAGTGAGGAACTCCAGAGCAAAAACATCATTACTAATTCATTATTGCTTTCTCACTGATCAGTTTGCTTTTACAACTGTAGCTGCATGTTTGTATACATAATTTGGACACATAGTTGAAGATGAAACCTGAACAGTTTTTAATAGTGTAAGTACTGAATGCTAATGCAGTCACATAAACATTATCATTACTCAGCCAGCTGATTAATATGTTGGTAAGAGTGTGTGTTTTCAACCACAAAAGAATGAGAACACATCATAAAAACATGGAAAATGTAATATAAAAGGCTTGTTACCAAATAGTCTTCTGTGCTGTTCTTGATTTGTAAGAAAGACTGTCGATATTGACAACAGATTTATGGCAGCTGTACCGCAATTACAGAAACTTTACAGTGTATTCACTCTTCCTATGCCAAGAAGTGCTATGAAATAGGTGATTTGAACAAAACCAGGACTACCAGACACTAAATGTATAAGCACAACATGCTGTGGTCTTCTGGTATTTAACTCAGCAAAAGTGCTTCTGTGGAGTTCCCAGCCAGGGTTCTGCAGAACAAGAATCCTTTGGCTCTAAACCATTAGTTAAGATACAAATGAAGACATTTCTCACTCCATTAGTATCTCAATGACCACTTTAACAACCAGTGGTTACTGATCAGCTGGCCAGTTTCAGCACTGCAAAAAATCCTCTTTTCCTCTACTTGGCACATGGCTGGCAGGCCTGGAAGCTGTGCTGCTGGTTAAGCTGCTTTGATTGATGATTAATCTGCTCAGTGCTGTGATATTGTAGCCACCCTCTTAAAACATTTGGGAATTTTCATTTGAAATTGTCTGAAGATCTCAGCTTTTTTTTTTTCACACATGATGAAACAACAGACTGGAGTATCGAGGAAAAGTAGGGATTGAATAGGAAACAGTGGAGGAATTGGTGCGGCTCATACCTGTTTTCCTTCTTCACTCTCCTCTCACTGGGATCAAACACCAGCTACCAAAATGTAAATTGTTCTGGTTGCAAAAGTATTTGTCTTTGAGCTACCACATAAATGCACAGAGCCTCTAACTTACTGTTGATGATCTTGTTGCAGCTGGTCGGGAATATGCTGAATAACTTCATAAACTGTACTAAGCATATCCTGGCCCGGAACAAAGTCAGAGCCATGAACAGTTTGACTTGAAACCTAGAAGTAGCAAAGAGTATTCCTACTGTAAGTACAAATGGGAAAAGAATCAACAGAATTTAAACTGATAATATAACTGCCTTTTTTTCTAACTTTTGCCTATGAATGCCTTGCATATGGGTTTAACAGTTCATCTGTTAGTTTACATTTCATTTTGATTAAGTTGTCATCACATTTATAGTAACACAAGCAATAGTTTTAAATTCAATCAGGATCTTAGATTTAGGATGCAGCTCTTGCATTTAATACAGTGAGTATTTCATATTAGTGTACCAAAAGTCAAGGAAGGAACATTTAACAGAGAGAAGCAAGAAAACAATAAGAAAGGAGAAAATATTCAGGGAAGGGCTTCAGCATGAAACTCCCACCAGCATGTCAAAGAGAGGGAACTGAAAGGAATTTCCATAAATGAAGTAATATGGAAATTTCATTGTTCAATATGTTAAGTATACAAATCTGCTCTTATGTTAATATGAACCTCCAGTTCTTCATTATCTCGACTTACTTTTTTTTTCTTTTTTCTGTTAACTGAAATGAACCAGTGGATCAATGCTGACTTTATCTGCAATGCCATAAATATGAGTAACAATATAAATCAGCGGAGTTTCTCCCATTTCTTGCAATTTTACTGGATTTCATTGCTTTTGCATCCATTCTGTTGTCCTTGTTACTTTTGCTTCCCTCTTGATCTACTAATGGCCCGATTGTGTAATAATGTGACTTTTTGATACGACCAGCCTAAGGGGTATCACAATGTGTTTAAGGCTGTGATGATTTAGGGCCTGATCTCCATACTCAGTAAGCCTTCTATGGTTACAGATTTTACAGGTAAAGTCCACCTCCTCTGTTTTCTTGAAGCCTTTTATTTCTGCTGCTGTACAAGTATGTCCTCTCCATTAACCTTTACGATAGCACTGTAGCCCTAGAAGTTTCTATTTCAATCATCTAACCCCAGCAGAGAAAAGGGTTTATTAATCTATGACTAACTTTGCTAATACATCATGTCATGGCTTGACTTCTCGAACGAAGATTTGGGAAGGGCATTTACCCACGCTTACTACAAGCGTGCTGATGACTAAGAAGGCCAATGTGGGATAGGCAAATCCGGCTACAAAAAGCACAGCAGAAGGTCTCCTTGGGTGGAACAGGTGGGACGCGATTCTTCCTGTGTTGTCTTTTCTCCTCGAGACTAGTTCTTCGTGAACTCTCAAAGGAGTCAGCGGCATTATGTATGGTGTGCCTCCAAGTCTCCCGATTGGAGGCCAAGGTGGACCACTGATGGTAGTCAATATGGCCAAGGCTAAGGTATTGTTTCAGGGAGTCCTTATATCTCTTCTTTGGGGCACCTCTCTTGCGGCTACCGGTGGCAAGTTCACCGTAAAACACGATCTTGGGGAGGCGGTGATCCTTCATTCTAGAGACGTGCCCTGCCCAGCGCAGCTGCAGTTTCAGCAATGTGGCCTCGATGCTGGTGACCCCTGCCTGTTCGAGGACAGTGACATTAGACACATAGTCAGTCCAATGGATGTTTAGAATTGTACGGAGGCAGCGCTGATGAAAGCGTTCCAGGAGTCGCAGGTGATGACGGTAGATGACCCATGATTCAGACCCATATAAAAGAGTAGACAATACAATGGCTCTGTAGACACTGATCTTTGTACTTTTCTTCAGGTGTTTATTACACCAGACTCTTTTATGGAGTTTTCCAAAGGCTCTATATGCCTTTGCTATTCTGTTGTCTATCTCTTTGTCGATCGTGGCATCCGAGGAAATGATGCTTCCCAGATAGCTGAACTGCTGAACTGTCTTAAGCTCTGACTCGCCGATGGTAATATGGGGATGGCGATAATCTTCTTGGGGTGCAGGTTGGTAGAGGACTACTGTCTTCTTCAAGCTGACTTCCAGCCCAAAAACCTCAGCCGCCTCCGCAAAGCAAGATGTTAAACGCTGCAGAGCTGCTTCTGTGTGGGCAACAAGGGCGGCATCATCAGCAAAGAGCAGTTCACGGACAAGATGGTTTAGGGTCTTAGTGTGGGCCTTCAGTCGCCTTAGATTGAATAGGCTACCATCAGTACGGTATCGAATATAAATGCCGTCTTGTTCGTCGAGGTCTGCTGTAGCCCTTTGGAGCATCATGCTGAAGAAGATTGTGAATAAGGTCGGTGCGAGAACGCAACCTTGTTTCACACCATTGGTTATTGGGAAAGGCTCAGAGAGTGCATCACCATACCTGACTTGGCCTTGCTGATCCTCATGTAACAAATACATCATGTATTATGCTAGCTAATCATAACAACAAAACAGGTAAGACTGCTAATGTGACCCTGTTTGATCATATTTGAAGACCTCTCCCTTACCTGACCATATGGATGCGCTCCAAAGGTCCAAGATTGTATTGCCAGAAATTTTTCCTAGCAAAGGGAAAGTGCTAAATTTTATGGCCCTGTTTCTCATTTTTTCTTTGTCCTTTTACACACCACATCAGAATGATCTCCAACTGCTATACAGTAATGTCAGTAAAGCCACAATGCAGAGAAGTAGCATATGTGGCAGGATTCTTCCGCTAGCAAAATTCGTGTGCTTAAATCCTCCCCCACAATACATGATGGTAATGAAATAATTCTTCTGAAAAATAGCTAAGCTTTAGTTCACATGTTTTTAAAGTGAAAATTTTACGTACCCCCTTGAGACTTTCCTGCACTGCCAGAGTTGTATGTTGCATGAGCAGCAACATTACGGTCAAGGCAGAAAATGGCATCAGAATAGTTTATTTGCTTGTGTGACACAAGTGGTTCAGTGCTTCCCATCTACCCAATACTACTAACATTTTTTTAATATAGGGTAGATGAAGTGAGATTGTTGTCTTTAGAGTTGTTTTTTTTTTTTTTTTTGTTCCTTACTCTCTGATGTTGATACAAGTACTAAACTAGTAACACAGTAAAGAAAGAGTAAGTACTAGGTAAACACCAGCTGTGAATACGGTGTAATAGAGACCAGCAAAAAGCAACAGACCAAACTGACAGAAGAATTCTAGTACAGATGTTTAGTACACCTTAAGAAAGAGAAATGAAACCATCAGTTTATGATGTAAAATCACCTACCCTAGGACCACTGGCAAGATCAGGAATAGCCACAAATTCATATATTCCAAAATCATCCAAAGCACTTTCATGCCCTAAAGTTAGAACAAACAAACATGAAAAAAGGTATTGAGGTGTAATATGAACCTGGAAAATCATGACTGGCAAAGCAACTTGGCCTAATTTTTGAAACATCCAAATATTAATTGTTTGATCTGCTTTAAACCACTTCCCTGCCAAGCTCCAAAGCTGGTGTGGATAGATTCAGGGCAGCCACACAGCAGCATGCACAGTGCTTGGCACCTTGGGCCAAGTGAGGAGCCTCCTGTAACCTCAGTAACAGTTCGGTACAGCCATTGGAACTCTCTTTGCTGGAAGGCTAAACAGACTGATTTTCTTTTATTTCCCATAGAAAATAGGCATAATCCATAAGCTCAGCACTGTAGTGAGGCAGTACCACCTAAAACTTTCATAATGCTGAGACTAAAAAGAGGGGAATGTGATACTAATAGGTGCTACATTATTAAACCAGTTGACAAACTGTATCTGGGACTTCAGATACAACTTGCAGTGAGGGTGGGAACCTCTTTCTCTACCCTCCAACTGCCCAGATCTGAGACTCTTAGCTGTCTCTTGGGCATGACTCCCCAACAAAGGCTGCAACACTAAAGATGGTGCTGAGATTTCCTCCTCCGATACCACTTGCTAGAGTCAAGGAGCCTCTGTGATCAAGTGAAATTATTACCTACCTAAGCTTTGTATATTTCCCTACCCTCTTGTATGCAGCAGCTTATGGCCTGCTCTGATGCTTTGGTAGGAAGCAATGGGAGTAAAAGTGCTGCCCTTACAAAGGATGGCCAGGCTCCAACCTCCTTGCGCAGGATCATGTGGGAAGGATTGTGGAGGGAAAAGAGGCAGTGAAAAAACACACTGGGTCCTGATAACACAGAGAAATGTAGTACAGAATATGGTAGAGGCTAAAATGTATATACTGTAAGGTTATATTTTTATCTTACAATATTGGTATCAGTTGGTTCCATGAACATTTAGAATTGTGATCCTCCCATGCCGTATCACCTCTCACTATCCCATAGTAACACTAATTTACCTCATATTAGTGTGAAGAGTGGAATAGAGGTGATCCAAATCCCAGAATAAACAGCTAGATTTCAAGACAACCAGAGTATGTGCTGCTGTGAACTCCAGGCATGTGCTAACCTCACAATGACCTGTTGCCATTTTGGTTTTATCTTAAGTAAGCTAGCACAGAAATATGCAACCCAAGTTAAAAACACACTTCCTTTCCTTTTCTTTGCTTCTTCCTTTTTTATGTGGAGAATCCATTTTTCTGCAGGAATGGATTACAGTCACGCTTCTCTTATTAGCATTACCTGAAAATGTATGCGCCTTTCTGTAATCAGCCTCTGGCCTAGAAAACATAAATATGTTTTTCAGTTTGATGTCATAAGCCAAGAAAAGAAAATTAATATAAAAAAAATTGCAATTCTCTTGATAGAAATGACTTGGCATAAGAATTATTTATTTTTGTACCTTCTCTGTAGCTTCTGTTGTATCACTGAAGAGAAGAAAAAAAGAACTGTTATTCCTTTTGCCCTAATGGTGCAAAAAAAGAGCTGGAGCGTACTTAACTTTTACGTACCTTTATGTGGCTGATATCTTCTCCATATGAATAAAAAGGCCATAGCTAGGATCAAAAATAATGAAATTCCTGTTATTACTGCAAGAGATGACAGAGATTTTCCCTTCTGGGCCAGCTTCTCCAATCCTGTGACAAAGCAGATGAGTACTGTATTTAGTTTCTTGTTCTGTACAATGTGCTACAATGACACTGAAAAACACACCTTTTGAAATTCATCTGAACCTAGTAAACCTGCACAGAGATACAAAATAGATATACAATTTGGGTTTGTGTGAATTGGTAATATTTTCTCCCTCCCACCATATCTCCTGAACTGGAAGAGCAATGACACCTGTATCACAAATGAGTCCAGAACTGGTTGGCACATACAGCTGAATGAAGGTCAGTAAATCTAATCCATAAATTGCAGCATCGCAAAAAGGAGATGGGTGTTCTAATGTTAGGCATAGAGACACTGAACTACCAAGAAGTTAGGTGACATTTATGTGAGTAGTTTGTGCTAGATGGGAGAGAACTCCTCCTAGCTGTAGGAGCTGTAGAGTATCAGGGGGTAACTGAACTACTGTGTTTTTTCTAAAGATTTTCGCATCACTGACAGTTTGGTTACTTATCAAATCCCGTCAGAAGTCAATAAATTATGCTTATTTGTATTCATGTCTAAATATATCCAAAGTATTTTTTTCCTCTGCTCAGATACTTTGCTGAGTTATGCATTAGCAGCAGTTCTCCAGCAGGATTTACTGACAACACAAACACCATATGTATATAATTACATATACAAAAGCACGTGGAAAACATTTGCATAGAATTTGCAAAGACAGCAATGTAAAAGTTAGGAAACGCCAGACATATTTTCTTGTGCGCCTTCAATTTCCTTCTTTAGCTCTGAATCATGCAGAATCCATGTAATTAAAGGCCATGTCACAATCCATACAGGTAAATTAATGTTGTGTATTTGTCAGCAGCAGCTTTATTAATCAATTCAAACATGCATTATTTAACTGGATATGTTTCCAGTACTTGGATGAACTCCTGTGCAGAGAGCTAGCATTGCTCACATTTACCTACACCTCCATGTAATTCACCAGCAGTTTGCTGGCTGCATGTGCAGCTGTTGTACCAAAGATTAAATATGTGGATTTTAAACCAGACACATCCCAAAGGTATGGGATTTCCTGATAATTTTTAGCATTAATTAGGCTGCTGTTTATAGCATGATATAAGTGAGTTTCAGTTCCTTAGGTGGGGGAGCTGTGTAAGGTCTTCTGAAATATCAGAGTTCCTGTTGCTGCTGACAATGGGTTTTCCAGTATTTTGAAAGGAACAGTCCAGGCCCTATATCTAGGATTATGGGGACAGGGAAAAGGGCTCTGGAATAATACACATAGTCTTTGCATTTTCTTTCACCAATAACCACAATGTTTAGTTTTAAAGTGCAGTTTTCTCAGTGTAAAACTGGAACCCATCTTCCTTCCAGCACAGAGAAAGCCATGGATTTGTAATGAATCCGTAAGTCAGCCTGAGCGATGGACATCTGCTCTCCTTGTTTACTTGACTAACAAATGGCCGAACTCTTTGTTCTGCAGAACTGAAATTGCTTTGTTAAATTTTATAAAAGGCAACATATTCTATCTATCTTGTTGAACATTAATAGCATACATTCCTTATCTGAAAATACTTGCATTGATCTGTATTAGCAAGAGATAGCCGACTTCCTCCATATCTTGTTCTTTGATGTATGCTTCTGGAGATTTCCTGTAAAACTGCTCTGTTGCTGTTTAACACAATCTAATACAGGAACTAATGTTATAATTCTTGAGAAATAAAGGTGTTTGTTCAGTGGAACCTAGGAGTCAATTCATAGGTTCATAAATACGACAGTGAAATAATTTTTAGGAATAGATTGTAATAAAACCATTGCATTGTTATCATACACTAAAACTAAGGTTTTTCTAATACAGAATCATACTGGTAAAATATTAAAGACCTTCATTACTGCTGAGTCTGCACCTGGTTATTTTAGTCAGTGATCTATGATTGAAACTATCCTGTGTACGGGTGAGCCCCAGGGCTCACAGCTCCTGAAAGCTGTGGGACTGCGAGCCTTGGACTAAATCTGCCCTGGGGAGGGAAGGCTCACCTCGGCATTCAGCAGATTTCTGCACCATCCTCTCCATTAATCTTCGTCATTTTAAAAGGTAAAAAGTAAGAAAGAGAGCAAGAGACATACCATTTTGCCATGTTACTTGATCAGATAAGGTTTGCCTACTGAGAAAGTTTTTCTACTCAAGGGATAAAGTTCCAAATGCCCAAATATATTTTAGTGTCAAACTCCCATAAAGCTTCAGCATCTTGGTGGGTCTTGTCCCAAGCCATGTCACACGGTGAGGAAAACCCAGATCCCACTGAAAGGCCAAAATCCCCTTTGCTACATTGTTGGCAAGACCTGACTTCTGATACATATTCTCTCTCTGAGAATTATTTTCTTTTTCTGGGCTTGATAGTTACAGCAATGATTTAATGTTCTTACCTACAGAAGTAACAACAACTGTGAAGTGAGTTTCATCTCGTTTTCCAGTCACATTGTTGAAAGCACGGCACATGTAATCTATTGTCTTCTGGGCCACTTTATCAGATACAACTTCCAGGTGGGGCCCGTATTTGATTACGTGAGTGGTATTGTCAGCCCTTTGAATCCATGAGTAAGTATTTGGTGGGTTTGAATCTGCTGAGCAGTCGAACAGTATAACTTCTCCCATGTCCACTGTAAACACCGCCCCTATATTCAGACCTTTATCTGATTTAACCCTAAGTCCATAAGGTCCGTCTGCATTGAAAAAGAAAAAAAACCCATAAATAAACACAGTCGAAAAAAATAAAATCAAAGCATATAATTTAACTTTAAATAAAAGCATATCTCTAAACTTAGACTTTTTAAGTTAGGCTAGCCTTTAGAATGGCTGGCATTGGATTCAAGCATTTCAATTAAAAGGCTTTCAGTTCAAGAACTTGATCTGTACTAGGTTTATGTCAGACTACACCCACTGAATACTGATCTAATCACTGTTTAGGGAAAAAGCACAGGTCTATGCATTGTTCAGTATGATAAAAAGAACAAAACCTGAAAACAGTTTGAAAAGCTGTGGAGTAAAGGTGCAGGTATCCTTCAGGGGCATATTTGACCCTTTCTATTTAAATGCCAAACTTATTGGTGTAAGTAATTTCTCCGCACATTTAAAAGTGAACAAATTAGCCTTGAAATACATAAATATTCACTGTAATACTTTGCAGTATAATAACTATTTGGGGAACTATCCTGCAGGTATCCTAGATTGCGATGGGCCTTAGATAACTTCAGAAAAAGTTTTCCATGAATGCCTGCTAAAACAAACTTAAAACTTCCCCCCACTTTAGTAGCATTGTGCTATTTTAACATTGATGTTTCTTTCAAGAGTAAGCCCTTGTGCTGAAAGAAATTTGTATTTCTGAATATCATTAAGAAGAGGCATATAATGTTCAATAGTCATGTATTCATTAGTCAGAAAATTGACCAGCTAAGTATTTTTAGTGTTATCTTCATAGGAACATCGGAAAGGAAACAATATATTTAAATATGAAAAGAATATTTCCCATGCTATTTTGAATAGGTCATTTCAGATCATGGAGATTTTATATCTTTGCATGTTAAAATCTATTTTTACAAGAATTTAATTATAGAAATTAATGTAGCAAACATAATAATCATAATGTGCCTTATTAAATTACCTTTTCCAGTCAAAAAACCTAATAATTTCAATGTTGCTTATTCCCTAAGGACTTACATGCATAATCAAAAAAGCACAGATTTAATAAGGACAGAAGCCAAAAGAAGAAAATATGCAGAACATCCTTTTGGTAAGATCCCTGAAGTTCAGTGAAGGGGCTGACAAATATCTCACACAGGATGGCATTTCAAAAAGGTAAGTCAATATTATGTCCATTGTAAACAGTTCAATCAAGTAATATTTCCACCTTCCTGTGGTTGTCTGGAAGCATTAAGATAATGTAGCTGAGTTGGAATGGGAAATTCCTTGTACATGAAGTGGCACTGTAACATTTCAGACTGTTTTTCATCAGGAAATTCAGGCTGATGTTAGACCTTCCTCTTAACACGCACACTTCTATTTATTGCCTGTCTTTTTTTTATGAGACTGATTTATTCTTCAGGAACACATAGGCAAACAGCATGCAGCACAAAACAGGCACTTTGTGTGTGCCTCTGGGATTTTTTTGTGAAGGCTTAGACAAGACAATGCAGACTATCGCACCATGATCTCAGTTTAGTCCACTTTTAGCCAAATATCCACATTTCACAACCTAAACTTGTAAAACTTTTTTGTTTTCTCTACTTACTTCTTAGTTGTAAGCTTTATGCAGTCTCATTTTAAGGAAGGTTTAACATCATACATAATATTTACTTGGGAAATGCAGTACAGAGTCACTTCAGCATGAATTAACGCTGCTCCCACCTACATCGTGGGGACCATTCTGAAGAATCGAGGCATCTGGGCTCCTACTTCATAGGCTCTGCAGTTCCTGAGTTATTTGATTTACTGTATCCATGAGCCAGCTGACCCTGTAATGAGCATTTCTGGGAACTGCAGACTTGTCACCACTACTTTGGGTTGGCAGACCTCACTCAGCTGCATGTTTCAGGGGACAGGGAGCCCCTCTAGAGCACCAGCTTCTCTCAGGAGCTTGCCTGTTACAGGCATTTAATTCCCCTTTTTCAGATGGGAAAGGAGAGAGATGTATGGAACTTTGACTTTTTCATAACTGAAAGTAAAACCTCTCATGCACTATTTATAGGCAGAGACATGTTTTTTTTTACTTTTCAGAGTAATTCAGTGGTTCCTCCTATCCAAATCTTCTTTCTTAGAAGAATTAGCTTTTACTTCCACTGATAATACAACCCTTGATATAAGTAAAGAGAGACTAATAGTAAGAATAGCTGACTGGTCTCTGTGCCCTCTCACTATAGTGGGAAATTTGCCCCAGCCTGCAAAAGAATCAGAACTAAGTTCTGCTTTTTTATCAGTATTGTAACGGTGTAGCACAGATGACAACACCATAACTACACTTTGTGTGAAGGCTCCAAATTGAAATGGATCATTATAAAAATACTGAGGCACACTGGCTGGGAAAGTACATTTGAAACAAACAAACAAACAAAACAAAGAAAAGTTTTAAGAAATAGTCAAACCTTAGCAAAGTCTGAAAAGTGGCATTCCTTGAGGAAATCAACACAAGCATTGGGTAACCCTTCTGCTTCGCCTGGATCTATCTTTTGCCTCTCCTGGGCATCACATACATTGAGATCCCTGAACGCTGGGTAGCTGAGGGACATACATGGCTTCAAGTACAATTCTAAAAGGCAGGTAATTAACCATTTCCTCTCCAGGACTGAATATATTCCATCTCTGAGAAGTCCCAAGGAAGGAAATCCCACTTAGTCTGCTAAATTCAACTCCATCAGCACAGCGCAACAGTTTCTGATGCAGCCTCCATGACAATAATTTGTTTCTGGGTCACGTTAATGTAATAGTCATGTTCTAGGGTGCATTATCACCATAGCTAGAGGGGAAGCAGAATAATATTAATGTGAAATGAAGAACAAAACACTTTTGATTCTCAGTCAAAACACAGTGACAGCCTTCATGGATCCCTTAGTTCTACTTCTCCTTTCCGGTGTCATTCTCAACAGAAATCTGCCTCTTGTCTCAGTAAAGCCAGTTAACTAAATGACTTGTAAAATAATAAATCATCTGTTCTGAGTAACAATTTACTGCTCTGTGGGAATAGTTCCAATTGTTTCTATTACCACGAGGCTGTTACTGTTTCCAAGCAGATGGCAGGTATTTACTGTGGGTGACTTTTTTTATCACCTCCAGTAACTCCCCCGCAGCAATGACATATGGTACATAGAGATCCCGGGGCCTGCTCTCGGTCATTATTGACAACTGGGAGCTGGGAGACAACCTACCCCTCAGGGAGAGGTTGCACTGTCTTACATGACCTTCTATAGCTCAGGGAGTAAGACTCCGACTCCCATCACCAACTTGGATACGGACAGTAGTGCAAGAGTTGCAGTCTTTCAGCATTGCATTGTTTTCTCTAAATATTTTTTTTCCAAATTTTAAATTATGCACAAAGCAAATCCTCAGTTCTGGTGAAATAAAAAGGATATTCTGAATATGCAAATACTTTTAATGCATTTCCACATGTGGAGAAAATCTGAGCCTCAAAGATTTTGGTACATATACAGACTTTCTGAGCTGCATATCACAATCACTCAAACAGCAAAAGGTTCCAGAAATGTGGACACTGAAGTAACTTTTAGATTTCAAAGTTCTGCTAAACAATGGCTCAAAAATAGGTTTTGAGCTTAGAACTTGGACAGATTTTTCAAATTTTCTCGAAAATACATACACTTGAGTGAGGGAGAAGGGAAGAAGCAGTACAGAAAGAAACTGCAGCTGAAGGGCACGCACTTTGTCAGAGCAAGTGTCCCAGAAACCCGTCTGTGGGGCCAGTTCCGTGTGGAACAGAACTGAAATGTGAGTGTTGAACAGGCTGCGCTGTGCCACAAACAAAAGGAGCAGTCTGAAAGGTAGCAAGAGCGGCAGGTATTTTTCTAGCCTGACCTGATTTAATGGCATTGTGAGAAGGCTGCCAGGTTGTGCTGGACAGAGTGTCCCCGAGTTTTGTGTAGGTATTCTTTGAAGAGAGAGGTGTACAAGGCCCAGTCATAGCTCAATAAAGTGAGAAAAGCAGTAGAGCCAGGGTATTCATAGACATGCAGCTTTCATTCTTAGCACTTTCAGCACCTGAGTGGAGATTGTGACTACAAAAGCAGGCATTTAAAACCCTGCTAAATTAAAAAATGTTTTGCTTTTTTTTCTTTTCTTTTATTGTTGCAGTAGTGAAAAGTTAAAACTCCACCAGTGCTGGTAATTTCCTTGTAGAGCATTTTCTCATGACTCTTCTGTCTAATGTGATGGAAGCTCAGTTCACATCTGCCCTGTTCATGACTCTGCAGCAGCTCATTCACCTTCATGTCTGCATTGCTGTCAGTTGTATAAGCTGCACCTAAGGTATAAGCTCTCGTCTATAAATATCCTTGTTAGTCTTTGCTAATTTAGGCAGTTTTTTTCTCTTCTCCTGCTGTGGTGTAGAGACCCATACACACACTTCAAATGCAAGACACCGCCTTACCCAATTCTTACAATTTGTAATTAAAAATAAGTAGCAGAACGTATAATCAGAGATAAAAGGGGGAGGAGGAAAATACGACATAGTAAGAGGTGTAGGTTCTGAGTATGCTAGTGGTGCAATCACAAGTCTAGGGCATGTTCTGTCTATGAGCCGCCAGCTGCCAGAACCTGGCAAAAGCAGGAGTGAGCCCCAGCCCTTGGCTGGACAGGAATCCTTTTCCAGCCCTTGCACTGTTCCATCCACACTGTGCCATTGGGTAAACTGGTTATGTCTGAACAGGGCTGGTGGCAAAGTAGGTCCTGACCTGTCTGAATCCAGCTCTCCTCTGAGAAGGCCAGTTTGACTTCCGAGGATTAGATCACGGTAAGGTCATGTACATAGCATGGCTACTTGCAAATCTTGGAGGCACTGGGAGCTGACATTACAGGAGGGGTAAGGAAGAAAATGAGGGTGCCTTCTTTAAGATTAAAGTATTATTGTTGAATACTGATTAAGTCAATCTTCCATTTTCTCCAACTCATTTAATTCATTAACTCAAGCTACATTCACAGTTTATCAGGTGCTTTCATTTCCTGTCAAAATGTATGGCTAGCTTATGGCTTACTCTTCTGCCAACATTGGCCTTTATAAAACTATTCTTGCTCCCTCATGTTTCCCATTTGATGTGGAGAGCAAATACTCCTTTAGGCTCTGATTTTGCTAAACCAGACTGAGTTTTACGTGTCTCTTCTCCATTCCTTTCTGTTCTGTTTCTTTGCAGTTCAAAATCAGTGCTCTGGGATGTGCAGGGACTGCACACAGTATTCTACATGTGGCCTCATCTTCTGCATGCCATTAGTATTCTCCTTATTTCCTTGTTGGAAATATCTTGCCAACACGTCCCAAAGTTACCTATGTCTTTCTCGTACCTTAATCATACTAACACTTCACAGACACCTTGTGACAGCTCAATCACCCAGGTTTACTACCTCAGTTATTTCCTAACCAATCTCCATCTTACCAGCAGTTCATGTTTTTGATTCTCTAAAAGCGGATGCCCATTTATTTTTTACTAATAAATTTCATACCAGTCCTATTACACAGTGTCATTCAGTCCTCCTAGTTTAATGTCACAGGTGACCTTCACTGAGATACTCCCAGTCTTTATGCTGATGTCATTACTGAGGTATTAAAAAAGGCTGGACTCAAAATGACCTTAAGGAAAACCATTAATACCAGTCCTTCAGCCTGGTAATTCCTGTACTTAGCTTTTTGACATTGTTTCCTGTCTCCATTTTTACAATATTTCCATGTATACCCATCTGATGATTATTTTTTTTTCCTTTGAGTCACATGTCCTCCAAATCTGAAGATATCTCTACTGTGGAATTCTTGAAGTTCCTATTTGAATTCTGAATTGAAGACTTTCTTCACAGCTATATAACAATTAGAGCTGTTACAAACAAGCTTAATTTGAATGTAAGCTCACATATAATGTGGACTCAACTGTTTTCTTCCTGTTTCCATAGTTAGAGGCCCTCTTTCCAGCAAGATCATTTATGCAAAGGTAATTATGAATATTTCATATACTCACAATATATGGTGGGTGCAATTATCTCACTTTCCATTGCACTGACAGGGTTAGATACCAGACAGCTGTAATTCCCAATGTCTTCTTTTACAACAGGAACAATTAGAAGTGTAGCATTGTTCGATGAAAAGGTGTAATTAGGGCCGGCATGGAGAGGCTTCCCATTTTTCATCCACTGGTAAACTACCCTTGTACCTTCACCCATGGTACATTTTAAGGTAATATTCCCTACATACTCCACTACTCCTGAAGATGGTTCAGTATGTACAATTGGCTTTGTGACAGGAACTGTAAAATAAAGTGATACAGAGTTGTAAAAGTGACAAGCCAGTATATCACAGTTCTCATTGTCAAGATGATATAAATAGTAGTCAACATCCTCCCCAGCAAGTACTTGCATTTCAAATTTTATTTATTAAATGTGACTAAAGGTTGAAAAAAGCAGGCTGAATTCTCAGCTGGTAACTGTAAGAGTTGTTCTGGAATATAAATATTATAAATATTATATTATAAATATTATAATTTTATATAATATTATAGATGAATATAAAGCTAGACTGTATATACTGGTACGAGGACAAGGGCTGAAGTCAGGTGTATAATGACCTCCTACCTCATAAGCAAATCCCTGAGGCCACAGAAATGAAAAGAGTGCAAAGCATGACATTGCCCACACCTCACTGTGGCTGCCCACAGCTTTGCTGACACTGGGCACTGCTGAAATACACTGTCAGTCCAGATGTGAGGATGACTGCAAACTGGGATGGGTGTGGGAGTTAAATGACAGCTACAACTTTGGCATGACACCATGCAATTCTTTTCATTATTCCAAGCCCAACAGTTTCAGGGCTCCCTCTGTATAATCCATAAACTACAGTAGCCTCCTGTCATTCTTTTAGATCATTCTTTTCTATTCCTCCCCCTGCTTTCCCCCCCCCCCCCATCCTTCATGATTGGGAGCACAGAAGAGCCTTATGAAACTTTATTTTTTAGAAGTTTCTCTAATTTCACATTGATGGTTTCTCTACCTCTTTAATTTTTTACATATGACCCAGAGACATTAGTCAATACATTAATTTTGTTTAAAGATGACATATTTTAGCATTCCCTCCAGCAGCAGTAGATGACAACATAATTGTTAGTATTTATTAATGTATGGTTGCATTAAATTATCCACTATTGTAACTGGATACTAAGAAACAGAACTTTAAAACTATTGCAATTTTATTTTCAAAATGAAGATACTACATTTTGCTAACTTACCATCAACAGCTACTTGAATCTTTTGACTGGCAGCTATTGTCCCATTTCCACGGACATTGACTTTTACAATATAATTGCCCTCATCACTGATACGCAATGGATGGATCAGCAAGGATGCATTTGGTGGTATGAGAGTAAACTTGTGCTGGAATTCCAAGTCTGGAACTACTGTTTGATTGACAGAGCTAAGCAAGTATTTTGGATTACTTTGGGGTCCCTCAAAAAGCCAAATTATCTGTATTTCAGAAGCTGTAGCATTGAAATTGTAGTCAACAGTAAGATGGAGTGGTTGCCCTTCAATACCATGGACGGTATGAGATGGAACTGTCAACTTTAAGGCAGAACAAATACCTGAATAAGAATGAAAGAACAAACAAATAAGCAAACCCAAACCACAGATGGAAACCCTGGAAAACTCAAATAAGAAGCTGTCACAAAGATTTGTAAATGACTGGTTAAAAGATCTGTTCATATTCCTATTCTTTCTGCATGACATTGCTCAATTTTTGGGTTTATTTAACTGTCAGTAAACAATTGTGCTGTAGAACAAGAAGCCAGTAACAGCTGCAGTATAATCATAAAATATGTATAACAAATTTTTCTCACAGATGTGTTTCTGCAGAAAATTAGCAAAAACAAAGCAGGAATAGCAAGCACTAGGATTACTGGGACTACCAGTATAGAAGGTACCACCATCATAAAGTAAGTATAAAGAGAACTGTGGCTGGTAAACTTAATTTCTTGTCAGTTAAAAACTGTAATTAACTTTGTTCCACTTGATTCTTGGGGAAAAGTGGCTCCATATAACAGCTTGGAAAGAGACTTTGTTCTGCAGTTAAGGAAATGCTTTTAGGAAAGACCAGAGTTGGTGAGGGCAGAACTAATTCTTTCCTCTAGGAGTCTGTTCTGGAGTGGCTTTGGGCAACTGAAGTTTTTATCGCTTTATCTGGGTCTGCTGGGGTGATTTCGTAGGGTGCCATCAGCATGCAGAAGATCCTCCATGACGTACAGAGTGAGGGGCAAAGCAGGCTGAGGCTTGAAGAAATTATTAGATAATGGTGCTCTGTCAAAGGCAAGGGTTTTACAGAAGATTTCTCACTTTCACAGAGATCAAATCTTTTGCAGTCTGGAATGCTCTTCATCAGAAAGGTTATTCTTTACTGAAAGGGTTCTCTTCTTCAACAAAAGTGTTTTGCAGCCCTGGAACAAGGTACCCAGGGAAGTGGTGGAGTTACCACCCGTGGAGGTATTAAAAGATGTGTAGACGTGGCACTTAGGGACATGGTACAGTGGTGGACTTGGCAGTGCTGAATGGACTTGATGATCTTAAGGGTCTTTTCCAACCTAAAACATAGGTTCTATGATTCTCTTCTTCCCTGATTTTGATTTTTAATTAAAACTGAAGACTGTTGTGACTAATCCTTAAATGAATGCTAATGGTGAAATCAAGCCAATATGCCAAACTCTTACATCATTCTCATCAGGCACAAATTAAATATAATTTAAGCCTACATCTATAGCTTTCCAAATATAATATACATTTTTCCAAGACAACAGGATTCTGAAAAATAGTTTTCCTATAATGACCATTAAAGGCTGCACCAAAATGACCTCCATTTGGAGCTCAGTGATCTGTGCTTTGCTTCCATTTTACTTTGCTATCACCAGTACTGGTAAGCAAAACAGTTGTTGTTGACATAAAACAATGGCTGCAGCTTTAGTTTAAATAAGAAACTATGACATAACTTTTGAGTTTATGGCATAAACTGAAACCTGCATAGCAAGGTTTTATCATTAAATTAACACGCAGATCTCCTTGTCAAAGTGAATTTGGCTTCTCAACTGCTTGTCGCCAGTGTTCACTCAGCTCTTTAGCTCTTCCAAAACCCTGAACTTGGTGTAAAATGTTGCCAGATCAGTGACAATAGTTTTTTACAATTTTTGCAAGTATATTCATTTATGCAAAAAAAAAAACCCAGACATTATGGACCAGGGAATCTGCACTTTAAATACCCCTATTTATACCAGGTAAGACTGAGGCATGCTCTTACCCAGTTTGAGATTTTTTCCAAGAAAATGTTCCACTGAGCTTTGTTATTGCACCTAATTTTGGTTTCTGAGGTCAATGTCTTTGGTGAGCTTGTGTCATGCCTCCAAAGCATTGACTGTTGTCATGATATAAAGTACAAGCTGCACATTTCCCATACTAGGAAACGTGCACATCTGAATAAGGGTATACGATGAGACTTCCTGGTGAACAAACGTGTACTCTAAAGCATTCTGCTCGTACAGTACTATTTCTCATAGGATTTTAATAACAAATGTCCAATAAAGTGTTAATGTAGATAAAGTGTATATTCCCTGTGTTTTTTACCAACCAGGGTTTTCTTTTTTTTAAAGAAATCCAGTAATCTTCATATAAACCTGCAATTATTATGAAACCCAAACTCGCGATGAAGTATTTAGCTCAAAATCAAGGAAACTAGGTGACTGTATATGAAGTTCACAAAGAAGGTAAAAGAAAAATTGTCCTTATACATGAATGTATAGAGGATGCACTACTTTACAGAAACAATTATATATAGAAAAAGTTAATTACAATAGTTTGTAGAAATATGTTTATCTAACATTTGATCACAGGACATTCCTGTCAAAAACCTATACTTTAGGTATAACAAATACATACTTAAAAAACTGCACCCAGATACCAAACAAATGTGCTATTAATGGGAAGACATTCTTCAGTTAATTGAAAGCTTAATTTAGTATCATATGAAGTATCTTTAAATGTTAACTATAAATGTTCTATATTAACTATAAGGCATCATAATGAAGTGGAAAATAATGTTATCAGCACTGTCTCAACATAATACATTTTGTGTAACTGTTTCTATATAAACTTAGGTTCAGAACCTGCCCAGCCTTATAAGAACATACAGTGTATATATTACTCAGTAAAATGTGACAATATGTATGCAATCTATGCCCATGTTTTATAACCAGATTATGTATAGCATTCATCCTTGTCAGCTGCTAAAACTTTATAGCTTCATACATAAACCAAGGTGACACTATCTACTTAAAAGATTTTAGGCTACTTTCTTGATATGAAACATCTGACAATACAACAGAAATACCTTTAAATTTATAAAGATAAATAAAAAAAATGGCATTTTCACAAAAACAATCAAATATATTTCATACTATTTCTTACCTACAAGCAGAAAATATATTTTGCATTGTAAGTCCCAAAAGAAATTGGCTAAAGGGCTCCATGAAAGCATCCTGTCCCACACAAATGCCACCTTCTCAGCAGTGCTAAGCCAGGGGCTGGACCTGCAGCTGCTCGTTTATTTGCTAGGGAAATCAGCAATGAGTTAACAGGCCCTATCCTGTCCCCTGCCTTATGTGATTTGAATATGTGTATACAAAGAACAAAGGGAGTGGAGCACCTGTTAGATGAGCACCCATCTTCTTTGCCTCTGACTTTATCGTAACCCTCCCCTGGCAGTCGTAGCAAATACAACACAGAATATAATAAATAGTGCACAGAATACAAAGTACACTGAATTAACAAAAATAAGTGAATGCACCCAGTGTACAGGTTATATAAACATCCTTATTAACATCCTTTAGTTACAGTTTCATAAAAAATACCATACTAGTAGAAGGTTCTGCTTATTTCAAGCTAGAATTAGTAGTCAGAATTTTCATATTTTCCAGTGACAGCCTCCCCTTTTCTCTTATAAAAAATATTAATCAGCTACTAAAGAAAGAGCCTTGCTTACAAATTTTTTCAGCACTTTCAAGCCTGTAACTTTCCAGTATTTTTTTTTCCTTAGCATAAGCATAACTTGGCACTGATTTTGTTCCCTATATCTTAAATAAGATGTAACATGAAGTGTCTATCAGACATCTTTGAACAAAGAATCCTATGGCTGGAGTGGACAGCTTACTACAGTTGTTGAGTTAGCTGCTGATTACTGTTTATTCTGCATTAACTTACATTGGTTTAAATTAGTACTAATGTATGATTTGGATGTTGTCCAAAGTTATCACCCACTATACAAATCAGCAGCAAACTCAGCAACCCTCCCAGTCGCATGTGCGGCAACAGTTTGCAACAGCAAATATTTGCAGCGACAGAGAGGGTTTAATTTTTTGCTATGCAACGTTCAGGCAGAGTATTATGGATTAACAAATGTCAGGCTGCATCCTGCCTCATGCAGGTGGGACTGGTGGCAAGGAATTGCCTTCCTCCCTCACTGTGTGGTAGGAGCCGGGGTCCTGCAAAGCTCTAAGCCCCCACCAGAAGGGCTGAACACTCAATTTTCACTTAAGTTAAAGGGAGGTGAAAATACCTAGATCTATAAAGATCAAGTGTGAAAAGCATGAAGGTTATTTCAGGTTAACAGAAGTACAGTGATCCCACCAGAAATGTCACCACCTGACACAAGACAGGAGATGAAGAGAGTATTCTGCGTATTTCCAAAGACTTCTCGCACCCACTGTCCTGTCGCTCCTGAATGCTGTTGTTTATAACCTTCTTAATCCACTTAGGTGTAGGGCAGATGCATCAAATTGCAACCTTTTGTAAAATCTGAGTTAGAAATTATTATCTGCTTGGTTTCAACACGTAATAAAATATTGTTCATAGGTTCCAATTATTTTCTAACTGAATGATGGGAGCCTTCACATTGGGATAAAGCCTATGTGAGCACTTTTAATGTACGTGGGTGAAGAGAGTAATAAAAAAGATCAGATTAGCATAGTTATATTGTTTAAGTAACTGTGTCCTCTTATTTCCAGCATTTGCATATAAACTTGATGTCATTAATTTGCTGAAACTTTACACTGCCTACCTCACACAGAGGAAGTGGATGCTAATAATTTGCATTCCTTTTCCCCCGGAATTCTAGCTTGTGCTGGTTGTTAAATGGCATTTGGACTCAATACAAATCAAACCTCACTCCTCTTTAATAAAAGCAACTTTATTTGCAGCATTAGTAATCTGAGCACTTTCAAGCATCTCTGAAAATGTTATTGCAAAGTAACTTTGTTATGTGTTAAATTTGACAAAGGTTTTCCACAGAAATAATTACAGATTATCTTCCCAACGGTAGCCAGAAGTAATGAATTCCTGCTGAAGTACACAGGGAAGGGACCATGACTCCTGACCTTCCCTTTGCACTGCGTCAGTTCAAAGGAAGAGCAGTGTGCCTGCTTTTACCTGACTACCTTGCAACAATGTACCAGCCAGCTAGGAGGCTAAATAACGCCAAGGTTAGGAAAAACAGGCTGAGGTGAACTATGGGCAGATGCTGGTAACACTGAACGGAAGGGTAACATTTTCTCCAGGTACTGCTATGCCACATTGGAAGTGTTGGTAGCCTTATTACTGAATGTCGTCTCCTGTGAAGCAAAGATTATAGCACAAATTCTTCCGTTTCCTGTATGGATATAAAACAAATCGAAAAATCTAACAGCTTTATTTTTTTAGTTGAGATCTAACGGCCAAAGTACACAGACAAACAAGCCTGTTTTGCGGATGCAAGACTGTACATCCATGAACAGGCCAGATGCACTAGTGCACAACACCCGAAATAACCCAAAGCTAACAGAAAATGGTCATGGTCCAAGTGTATTTTCCAGTCTGTCTCTTTAAAGAGACAAAGCCTCGTTTTGTCCTCTCAGATAACTGCTTTCAAACTCTAAACCACAATGTTCAAAACATTCCCCAGGCCACACTCGAGGCATTCGCGGACACAGCTGTAAGGCAGAGGCCGAGGCCGAACACGGGCTGTTCCGACATGCGTTCAGCACCGCTTCCCGACAGCGGGCTGCCAAACAGCCAGCTCCTGCACGGCTCCGGAGAGTGCTACGGCCGCACTTGGGCCCTGCCTCCCCCGGCAGACGCACCTCCTGCAGCCACCACGGCACCGGACCGAATACTTCCCCTCACAGCGCACCCGGTCACCCCCACGCCTCCGGAGCGCTGCCGCCAGAGCGCTACGGCGGAAGGGGCGGTCCCACCGGCTGCCTCCCGGCCGGGCTGATGGAAGCTGTAGTTGGGAGCCGCCGCTTGAGGACTACCGGTCCCAGGGAGCAGTGGGAGGGCGCTGTCAGGTGGCGTCCAACATGGCTTCCCTGAGCCTGCCGGGGAGGAAGTCTGCCGCCGAGCGGGGCTGCTGAGTGCTGTGGGGTGGTGGCGACGGTAGCACGATCATGCAGAAGATCAAGTCGCTGATGACCCGCCAGGTGAGCGGCCCCGGGGGTTCACCGGGTTATTGGGGGTCCCGGGCTCTTCCCGGGGGCGCCGCCCCTTGGCCCACGGCTAGGGGGCCGGGGCGGGTGTGTGCAGCGGTGCCCCGGGGCGCGGGCAGCGCCCGCAGCCCGCTGTGGGCAGAGGGCCGTCGTGATGTGTATCAGCTGTCGGTGCGAGCGCATCCAGCTTTTTTCGCCTCTTTAAATGAAGAAACGGAAGCACGCATAGGTGTCAGCAGGTGGATTGTGACAGACAAACCAGTGTGCAAGATGACACGATGGTCTGTGCAAATTTCCCTTTCCACGTATGATTTTGGGGCGCTGGGCCAAGGCACTGTGACATAGCGTTGTCTCTGGCAAAGCTCTTGATCAAAAGGGAGGTGAGGCTGTGGAGTGGCTGGGGAGGTGCTTGGATGGCATATACTGAATGTGTCCAGGAGCACTTCATGTGTTCCTGTTGGCCCACTTCTTTGCACCAGTGGTCTCAAGGGTTATGTAGGTCTAGTCTATGTTTGCCCTAGTGTTTCTGAGGTTGTGAGCCTTTGTAAAGGAGTGTATTAGAAGAGCATTTGAGTCATTCGTGTATACAAAGTACTTCTAAAATGAAGCCTGTGTGCCTGTGTGTCTAAATTTGAGAACTTAAAAAACCCACTGGAGTCACCCCCCGCATCATATATTCTAAACTGGGAGGAGTGGCTGACACACCAGAAGGCTGTGCTGCCATTCAGCGAGACCTGGATAGTCTGGAGAGTTGGGTGGGGAGAAACCTGATGAAATTCAACAAGGGCAAGTGTAGAGTCTTGCATCTGGGGAAGAACAACCCCATGTACCAGTACAGGGTACGGGGGGTTGACCTCCTGGAAAGCAGTGAAGGGGAAAGGGACCTGGGGGTCCTGGTGGATAGGAGGATGACCATGAGCCAGCAATGTGCCTTTGTGGCCAAGAAGGCCAATGGCATCCTAGGGTGTATTAGAAAGGGTGTGGTTAGTAGGTCAAGAGAGGTTCTCCTCCCCCTCTATTCTGCCTTGGTGAGGCCGCATCTGGAATATTGTGTCCAGTTCTGGGCCCCTCAGTTCAAGAAGGACAGGGAATTGCTTGAAAGAGTCCAGCGCAGAGCCACAAAGATGATTAAGGGAGTGGAACATCTCCCTTATGAGGAGAGGCTGAGGGAGCTGGGTCTCTTTAGCTTGGAGGAGACTGAGGGGTGACCTCATCAATGTTTACAAATATGTAAAGGGTGAGTGTCAGGATGATGGAGCTAGGTTTTTTTCAGTGATGTCCAGTGATAGGACAAGGGGCAGTGGGTGTAAACTGGAGCATAGGAGGTTCCATGTGAACATCAGGAAAAACTTCTTTACTGTGAGAGTGACAGAGCACTGGAACAGGTTGCCCAGGGGGGTTGTGGAGTCTCCTATGTTGGAGATATTCAAGGCCCGCCTGGACAAGTTCCTGTGTGATGTAGTCTAGGTTACCCTGCTCTTGCAGGGGGGTGGGACTTGATGATCTCTTGAGGTCCCTTCCAACCCTTGGGATTCTGTGATTCTAGATAGTTGTAGAAAATGATGGGAAAGTCAGAAACTGAAGTTTGGTTATTTTCCCTAATCTCTGTCCTCAGAGTTGTGATACTTATGGGGGAGGCAGGGCTTAAACAGGACACCAGCATGGAAGTTGAATTTCCAAAATTATGTTCTGCTCCCCTTCAGTGTAGGGGTAAATGATCAGTTTTTTGGCTTACCAAGAGACGTGGCAAGCCTGCACAGTGTGGAAATCGTGGTCTGAAAATGATGTGATTTATGCAGTTTTCAACCTTTGACAGGGATTAGGTCCCACTTAGCATTTGATAAGTGCAACATTTTACTGCTTCTGAAGGCAAACTGCTAGCACTGTGGGTTTTGAGAGGATGTGTGGAAGGTTTTCTGTGATGTATGAGGAATGGCAGCAGTTGCTTTGGTTGGTTGTTACTTTGAATGTCCAATGCATAGAGGTGAGTCACCTTTGGTGGTGGTAACTGGGAAGGGAGGATGTTTTGAGATGATGTGCAGGGGAATCAGAATCAAAACCCAAATGAAGAGCTTTTGCATCTTAGGAAGATGAAACAATTGTAAAATGTAGTAGTTGTCACAAAAGTGCTGAAATCATAAAACACTGTATCAAAGGATAAATGAACATTTCCATTATAAACTCACATAGTAATTGCATGGGTTCTTTTGTTTCAAAGAAAGGGTAGGTGCCCAGGGCCTGAAAGGGGCTTATAAACAGTACTGTTAGTGTCAACTGCAAGAGTAGGAGGGAAGTCTGCCTGGAACGCGCGGCTCACATGAACACCTTGAGATCTCAAGGGAAGCTCAAGTCAGAACCACGTCTGAAACTTGAATGTTTGGATTCACCTCTGCCTAGGAGGCAGACAGAAAACATGCTAAGCA